GAAATACACAAAAAAAGAGAAATTTTAAAGTCATTTTTGGTACTAATATCAATATATTTTTTTTAATTTTTTATAACATTAATCGAGACAAAAAAATAAAATAAAACACTAAAATCAAGATTAATCTCGCTGTATTATGCGAGTATCTTTCTAGTAATAACAAATTATTTAAAAAATATGTATTATTTAAAAGCATATGCACAAAATCTTGAACACCAACACTTTTTTATTTGAAAATGCAAACTTGTTTATTGAAAATCTTAATTACACATTGACTTTTAACCAACTTATCCAATAAATTTATTTAAATGCATATAATTTTTTTTTTTGTTTTAAATCATAAAAGATTAACAATTATTTTCAAAGCTAAGGGGCCGTTTACCTAAACACTTACCCGGTAAGCGCTTAACGGTAAAATTCAACTCTATCGTTTACTTATCAGGTAGATTTTAGTCTAGGATAACAACAACATATATAAAAATTTACCCGGTAAGCGCTGACTGTGGTAAGAGTCGTCGCCATCACTTACCGGGTAAGACTCTCGGTTATTGTCTTCACTCTTACCAGGTAAGATTTTTAGTCCTTGTCATACTCATTCGGTAAGAAATGTGACTTGGTAAGCGCTTACCCGAGTAAGAATTTTGTAAACGGCCCCTTAGTCATTACTTGATTATATGGTTTACAGATTAAGGAGTATGTTAGACATTTCATCAAATAGCTAGACATTATTTTAAATATATATTGAATTAAACTATTCATTTTTAGGAAAAAAGTCTATAACAATTTAATTTAGTGGAATAGGACAAAATTATTAGAAAATGAATATGCTGTAGAATATGAATGATATTGATATATATCTGGTTAATGAATCTATCAGTCTAAATATTTTTCATTTGATGTTTTACTAGGCATAGCAACGGGGCGGGGATGGGGCGGGTTTTGTAATCCCCGACCCCGGTTTCTAGTAACATCCCCCGGCGGGTACGGGGATTAACATCCCGTTCCTGGTCAAACCTCTATCAGTCCCTGGTCCAACCCCTATAAATCCTCGATCAAACCCCATGAAGAATATCCCTTAGTTTGATTCTACCGAGGATCCCCGGCCCCGACCCTAGTTTGAGTCTACCGGGAATCCCCAACCTCGGGACCCGTTTTAGCGGGGAATCTCCGTCCCCGTTCAGGTCGGGTGAACCGGGTTCCCCACCTGGTCGGGGCAAATCACCATCCCTATGTTTTACTTTTGTGGAAATAAAAAATTAATAGTTATAATATCTCACTACAACAAAATTAGGTTTATAGGACGTCTAAAATGTCATAACATGATACTTATTAGTACTAAAGTTTCTAGCTAGGGCAAAAAAAAAGTGTCCTGTCTCAAAATGTTTACAAGACGCTTTTGGATATCTTAATAATTTTTTATAACGTTTTAAAATAAAGAGTCGTATAAGTTATTTTATACGACACTATTTGAAAAAGTGTAATGTGAATACAAATGTCCTATAAATAGATGAGTTTATATGATAATTTTCAAAATTGTTTTATAAAATAACTAATACGAAACTTTATTTAAAAAAAAGTTCTATAAAATTTGTTTAAACGTCCAAAAACATCTTATAAACTATTGTAACAATTTGTGTCCTATAAACTTAAGTCTTGTAAAACATTTCATTTATCAAATTTATGTAACTATTAACCCGTCAACTCAACCCAACCTATCTCAACTCACAAGAGTTGAGTTGAGATTTTTCCAAACAATCATAATTGGGTTGAGTTGTATAAATGTCATAAACCATCCAACCTAATTCGTATAGACCAAGGACTAAACTTGTAATTTAGGTATATATGTATTAATGAAAACGGTAAATTACATTTTTCATCCCCATGGTTTGTTAAAAATTACGGATTTCGTCTTTGGTGGTTTCAAAGTTTTGGTTTTCGTTTCCATGATTTGCAATTTATCTATATTTGCATCCCTGAGTTTACAACACTACTTTTAAGTCTGAAGAACTAAAATAGAAATGAATTGCAAATCATGATAATGAAAAAAACAATAAATTTTAAATCATAAACACAAAAAAGACAATGAATTATAAACTATAGGGATGAAAATCGTAATTTCAAAATTATGAGGACGAAAAAAGAGAAATTCTCAAAAAACCACTGTGACTAAAAACGTAATTTGCTCCAAGGAAAATGACGGTGTTAATTTATTAGGATGACGTCGTTTTAGGATTAGAGCTGAGTCAGATATAGAGTACAAGAGGCCGTATTTTACGTACCATTCTCTCGTCATTGACTTTTTATTTTCATTATTTCACTTGTTTTTATTTTATTTGCAAGTTGCAAAAAATATCAAAATTTATGCAAATTTAGAAAAATTATTGTTATTTAAAATAATAATTAATTAAAAGACATAATTTTATTAAAAATGATAAAAAGTTACCTCTTATAACTGTGCCTATGGCTTTTCATCTTTTGGAATTCGTTAATTACATCATCATTTGTAACATTGAGGAATGCTTTTTTTTTTTTTTCTATGGTACATATCAATGCAACATTCAAAAATTCATCACCGTTTTTGTTGTGAAAATCCGACTTCACAATCTTCATGGTAGAAAAACATCTTTCGACTGTCACCATAGCAACAGACAAAACCAAAACTAGCTTCAATAACTGATATTAGTAGAGGAAAAGTTATACGTCTTTTTTGTTTCACCATCTCGGCAATATCATTCAAATCGGCAAATATTTCATCTTGATGCACAATCACATAGTAAGAGCGATCTTTTTCATATGACTAAAAACATTATGATACAACTCACTCAACTTCAATAAAAGATAAAAAATAAAAAAAATATTTTTTTTGGAAAACGCACGCCATGGTGCATCTCAAGAAGCCATGATGTGAGTCACACCTTATAGAAATGCTATAAGTCATTTCGTAACGACGTCTCAAGAAGCCATGGCGTGAGTCACACGACCTTACATAAACGCTATGAGCCATATCGTAATGGCAGAGACGCATATGACACACCTTTTTGAACACAGGTTACAAATCATACAAACAAATCTTAATTGTCCATCTAATCAAACGGATATTTGGTTTCAATTCATAAATATATTGATTATTTTATAATATACAACGTTGATCATAATTGCTGAACTTTAATCATCTTCCATAAATATTCAAACCATAATAAATGAACCTTCGTCATTTTCATAAATATCTTAATTGATTGATTTGTATGTTTGTACTTGAATGATTTGTATTTTGATTTTTCTTCTCTCTTTACACACACACACTCTTATTTATATATATATATAGGTATATATATATATATATATATATATATATATATATTTCAAATGAAACCATGTCTATTTGTACAACCAATGCAACCCAATTAATTGAAATATTTATAAAAATGATGGGAGTTTATTTATTATGATTTGAATATTTATGGAAGATAAATAGAGTTAATTAATTATGATCAATACTTTATATTATGAAGCAATCAAAACTTCTATAAAATCACATGTTCATCAAATTAAATGGACGGTTGAGATTGAGTTGTATTGATTGTACAAATGTAAATGGTTGTATAATAACCCACCTATACACACACACACACACACACACACACACACACACACACACACACACATATATATATATATATATA